AATGTTCTTCCCCGACAGTATATCTTCTTCTCCTGCCAATTATGTACTCCATTCCTAAACTGTGATGAGAAAAATATTTATTGTGCAAGCATTGCACATAAATGTCCACTCACCTGTTAATATGACTTACTAGCTGTTGTGCCAACCCCGTCTGACCAGTATGAGGCCACATACTGAGGACTAGTGTACTGTATCTCATTTAAATTAAACATTCTACATTACCTCACATATTTCATAATTAAGATAATTTCACAATAAGTTATTTACAGTGAATTCCAGTTGTGAATTTAAGTTTAAGTTGGTGTGGTTCCCCTTGTGGTCTGCGAAGGCATTGCAGGTGGTCCCTGATCATGCATTCAGTAAGGTAGTTTCACTCTAGCATTTTTTAAATATAAATTTCCATTTATTATATACTGATAATGAACATTTAAAGTAATGCAAATATATAAAATGTATAAAAGCTAAGGTGATCCTCAGGTTACTTCTTAGTCAGAACGATGGTTTATGGATCACGATTAGTTGAAAACCCCAGGCTGTCGTTAGAAAAACTGACATACACCTGCATTTGTGATATTTTCATGCAAATGCAAGATGAGCGCCTAAATTTCACTGCGCTGCCTAATCAGCATAAACACGACCCCAGCAGTGCCTGTCCTCCCACCTGAGCGCAAGCGCATTCATTCATGGCAGGAAAATACCAAACACGCCGAACAGAATTGCACCCAAGGAAAACAGCATAAACACTACATTTGAGGCTACGCTGGCTTTGTGCTGTCAGAAACATAGAACCCAAAGTGTTTTTCTGAGTTTCAAAAGTGGTGACAGCAGGTCAACCAGACAGACAGGGCAGGAGCTAAATACAGCACACTCATTAATCTACCAATGATGCCAAGACTGATGGTACCTGTCCCCTGCTATCAGTGCACAGACACTTCAGTGACATTCATTGCACTTTTCGGACACAAAGCAGCACATGGAAAGATGAATCTGTAGAAATGGAAACAGACACATAAACCGATGCAAACAGACATGAACATACCCGTGCACACATATAGAACAGACTCAGTAAATGTTCATGTTTTTATGTGAAAAAGTTAGAGCGAGAGAGAGGAAGGATTACACTTCATTCCTTCTTGCAAGGGATGCAGTGAAAGCACTATTTGTTTTAAGTATCGCAGTTTGATTAATAAGTCATTAGTTCACATTCATTCAAGAGCCAAGCTCTTTAGTTACCATTAATCACAACAACACAATGAGGAGATTCTCCTCAGTATTCAGCGAGTAAGAGCATCATTATAGCTTGCTTTTCATCGGGTGTGTGAGTGTGCATGTGTGTATGAGCGACAGAGATTGACTGTGGGTTCATGTGCAAGAGACTGTGTTCCTACTTGTATTTACTCTTTTGTGTGCATGTATGTATCAAATGTGCATGTGTGGCGTGGCTGACTCAGGCACACGGTGATGGATAATAGATTGTTGCATCCCCCTCCTCAGTCACTCCATGCTCTGTCAGCTGCCATAGCAGACCATGTTCTAGCAACAAG